GGAGAAGTGATCCCTATATATCGACACTACTCCGTAGAGGCGAAACAAAAATTAAGAAACAAATAATAAAATTCAGCGAACCGTCCACACACAAAAAAATGTTTGTTTCTACTCAAAATTTATGAAATATGTATCAAAAAACCTTCCCCAACCATTTTATCATATGTTTGACCATTTTCCTACTAAGAGAGCCTAATTCAATAATCTCTACAATTTACCAAATTAAGGGGAAGTTTTCAAAGTTTTCCTAAATTTTTTCAAAGGTATATTTGATGATCTGGTCAATTATTAAATACTTTTACCGTGTAGTTTTGATTTTATTTGACTTTGAAAATATCAGGTACCAAATTTTGATTTAACACTAAATAGCCAATAAATACTTGTATTAAATATATTATAAAATTTAAACACTTTTCTTTCCAAAAGAGAAATGAGAGATAAGTGTGTAGATTTAAAAAAGAAAGAAAGCAGAAAGTTGACATTCTGGGTTTTGAACTTACGGCCTTTAGTTTCAATGCAGTTGAAAGTAATTCTAGCCTATTTGATTACTCTTCATAGCGGAGGTAATATATTAAGATGGTCATATTTAATCCCAAAGAGATCTTGTTTGAAAATAGTTCGCAAATTTATGATTTTTAACAATCCAAAAATGAAAGCAAAATTGTGATTTAACAAGTCTCAAGTTTCTAATCTTTCAAAGACAAATGGCTTGTTAAAATTTATCTAATTATGAGGATACATTTTATCCGCGCTTAATTAACGTTTGGGCGAAGTTTGCAAAGACGCTCTGAACTGTAAAGAGCAAATCTCACCGTGTATATCCAGTAACGCAGGAGTGTGCAAATAACGCAAGATTTGTGCAAAAGTTACGCAGAATTGTGCAATTTATTGGCTAAAACGAGCACCGCGATAAGTAAATAAACCAATATTGTTTTACTGTACACCAAATTGGAAGAAATGAATTAGCGCATACTGTTGCTGAGACATTATACTTTAAACCTCATCAAAATTATTTTCATGAAAATGTTTATTTTTCAAGATCATTCATGAAAATGGCGACCTGACTAGCGTATTGATGGCGATTTTTAGTTTCGTTGATATCTTTAAATACAATAACGTACATAGAACTTTATGATTTTTTTACATTCGGTGTACCTGAGACATTTTCCAATCTACTCGTGTCATATTACACTTAATATAGCAGAAAAAATGTGATTGAGGCCATTTTACAAGGTAACGCCGAATTCGTGAATTAATAACTGAAGCGATTATCTCATAAAAAGTAGTTAAATTTTATTTTACCAGCTTCGTTCTATTATTATACGACAAGTGTAGATTGACAAATGTCATAGGCATACAGATTATGACAAAAAAAATTTAGATGTGTTAAATGTACATATTTATTTGACGAAAACACAAAATTCACCTTTTAAAACTTGACCAGGTTGTCTTTCTCACGAATGATCTAAAGAAGTAAACATATTCCTGATAAAAATTGTAATGCTGGTAAAGGCAGCCGTATGCGTTAATTCATTTCTTTAAATTTGATTTAGAATACAATATTTTGGTTCGTTTACTTACTGTGTTATTCGTTTTGTCAATAGCATTGCACAGATTCGGCGTTACTTTTACGATAATTGCACATTCCTGCGTTACTGGATATGCACTGTGAAAACAGCTCTCCCCTTAATTTAATCCGGAATTGTTCAGCGGAAATTATGCATCATTGTCATAATTGTTGCCTTTGAAACTGATGAAAGAAATAATTAATGGTTTCAGAAAATATGCAAAAACTTTTTTACGAAAATTGTACATAAAGTGCATGTATGTTACAGTATTAATTATATACTGAACTTATCTCTGTTAAGAAAATTTGTTATGCAGTATCTTCATTTTATTTTTCAAAGCTCTAGAGTATTTATAGAAAATTTAAACTTTAATGATGTAGCTTCTTAGTTTAGATTTGTAAAAGATAAGATGACTATGGAATACCTTCGAGAAAAAACCGCTTTGTCGATTTAATTGTTTCCTATTTAATCAAAGAATCAAAAGTCTAACGACAATTAGATCAAAATTTATCATTTAAGAGATAGCATTTATGGTAAGTCCAATTGATAATACTACGTAATGAGATATAGTACTAAACATTATTTTGAGTGTGGGCAATATCTCCCCTGTATACGTACAACATAATAAGTACCTTTTCCGTTCAATCATAATTCCACGTTTTATTTATGAAAATATGCTTACCGGTTTTGAACGAAATGAAAACAAACACTGTTGATAACTGCACTGTTATGTTGTATGTGGTACTGCGTAACTGAGAAATAAGACGCTATTGGAGAAATATAACCTTTTATATTATATTCAAGACATTAATTAGTGTAAACAGTAATAATTTTAACAGGATAATAATGAGCCGCGTCACGACAAAACCAAGATAATGGGTTTGCGTCCAGCATGGATCCAGACCAGCCTGCGTATCCGCGCAGTCTGATCAGGATCCATACTGTTCGCTATTACTTTCTCTACTTGTTATAGGGTTTGTAAGCGAACAGCATGGATCCTGATCAGACTGCGCGGATGCGCAGGCTGGTCTGGATCCATGCTGGTCGCAAACGCATTATGTTGGTTTTGTCGTGATGCGGCTCATATTCGTTCTCGTCAGAGCGTTATTAAAAACATCACAGCCATTATTAGTTAGTATAAGCTACTCTGTAAATATACATCATATAGCCTTCGGAAAAAATAATGATATTTTTCTTAAAGGAAAACAATGGACTTTAGTTGTCAATTAATCAAAAGGTCCGTGGAAAAAACAGATTTACTCCTCACTTGTTTGGTATTGTTTTTTTAAAACTAAGAAAATCGGAAAGAAATCACGGCGCCTTTTCAATATATTCTTAATCAGCTTTCAAGATTTTGAAAATTAATATTTTAACCTTCAAGTACATTTTTATAGAAAATCAGAAAAAAAGGTATCTAGAAGTTAAATATTACAACTTATAACTTAAAAAGTTGGCCTATCTTGTGTAAATTCGGAGTATATTGGTTAGACTGGAAATTATACTGAAGAAACTATGCAAGATTCTGACCCAGGACATCTGAGAATCTAGCTTTAGTACGTCAATATATACTTGGGGGAATAAACAGTTCCAACAGATAGATTATCCAAAATCGCGCAATGAGATATTTCATGGGCGTTCATAGATTCACACCCGTACTTGCCATGCTTGGAGACACAGGCTGGTTACCCAGCCGTTACCGTAGATGGACCTCTATGTTACGCCTCTGGAATCGATTAGTGTGTATGGATACTAACAGACTGACATACAAATTGTTTGAAACAGACTATAGACAGTGCTCAAATAATTGGTGCAGTGATTTAAAAACAGTTATGTACACACTGGGATTGAATGATAACTTTGACAATTTATTCCCGGTCAATCTCTCTCAAGCAAAAACTCTCATTAATAGTTATTATTCAAACATATGGGCTCGAGACATTCAAAACTTACCAAAATTAAGAACATACAGACTGTTCAAAAGGGAATTTAAAACTGAGGAATATTTATTATTAAACTTAAAGAAAAATGAAAGGTCATTATTAGCTCAATTCAGGACTGGCATTTTACCTTTACGGATAGAGACAGGTCGATATGTCGGCGAATCTGTAGAAGATAGACACTGTACACTGTGTAATTCCGGAGCCATAGAAACAGAGACACATTTCTTACTAGATTGCAGTTTATATTCAAATGTTAGAAATACTGTATTTGACAACTTATTAACAGACATTTCATTTGTAAACCTAGTGACCGAACACAAACTCGAACACTTAATGACAAAATATCCTCGTAAAATGTCTAAATATATTGTTGCTGCCTTTATGTGAAGGCGAAACCGAATTTATTCATAACAAAACAAAAAACTGTGATATCCAAAAATAATGACAATGATAATAATAAAAAGTTCCATATAGAACGTTAAACGTTTGAAGCCCTTGAAATATTGTTTGTAAGCATTAACCAGAATCAGGTTACACTTTATATTTGTTTATACCATGATTTATACATTCTATGTTTTATGTGATGCATTATGAAATCATTACATTGGTGACTTATAGGCCCATTGGGCCGGGTGCTATAATTGTACACATATACGATTGTTATTTGTATTTGACTATGCACATGTCACAATAATAAATAATTTACTTACTTACTTACTTTATATATTTGATTACTTTTATGGTATGACTAAACAATAATTATGCCGTTTTCTGATAGCATGTATTACCAATTAAAATATGTTTACTAGTTTTGTTTTAAACAGTCTCACGCAATAATATTTTCAATTTTAATATGTACTGTAAATTTTATGAATAGTATAGCTTACCTTTGAGATAATTTTGTAGAGCTTATGTTTTATAAATATGACAAAAAACAAGAAATAGTAACTGGGCTGTTCATATAAAATATTTAAAACAAACTACCTTTACTTATTCAAACAATTTTCCTGTAAGACGGTCTTGTTTTAAAAAATATATCTTTATATAAAGTTTGTTAATTTAAGTCTATGTTAAACAAGTCTATCTCTATCTTGTTGGCATTTCTATTCATTGCTGACATGTGATAGAGTTTAAGTGGCGATGTGACCTCAATATTTGTTAATAATTATGTACCCATAATTACTCTTTTTCAGTTGCACAATGTAAACAATGCTCTGTTACTAAAATTAAATGAATTTATAAGTCTATTTTGAGGGTTCGTCACTTATCTGATAATATCTGTAAAACATTTTCGCGAATATGTCTCATTTTGACATTTTCATTAATTCGCATTATTTTTTTTAATTTTAAAAACATAAATCCCGAAAACCCTTGCCCTTTTGTACAAATTTCTATACAGTTTATTTGAAACTGGCATCCATCCATAAGTTAAAGAAGAAAGACAATTGATATAACCTGTTTAATTGAATCCAACTATCAAGACACTCGAACATTTTTTTATTATTCGCAAATTTATAATCATGTATGTACAATTGTGTGAAATTGAACAATGCATTGCGTTGGTTGATGAACTAATACCACAGTAAACGTACACATTGTCATCCTCCGAATGTATCAACATTTGGTTATGAAGACAGTTGCTTGAAGTAATGGTAGATGTACACCAAACATCAAAATAACAAACAAAATCGGTTTACGGTTAAGAACCTTGGTCGCTGCATTTTTTCCAGTTGTAATTTATGCATATTATAATTTCCAAGTCAGGTTCTTGAACAATTTTGTAATTATGCTTTGGACAAAAAATGGAAGTTTAATAAAGGAATATTTTTCAATAACAGAAACAATGATATTATTTCCCGCCTCTGTATTTTCCTGGTACTGTTAGTGTTAATATTTCTATTAAGAATATTAGGTTTATCATTTGCATAGTACGATAGTTGTCCTGCTGGAAGAAAATAATTATATATTTAATGGGTAGCCTATATCTGATACATGCCTATCTGCAAAATACAAAACTCCTATTTATCTCATCAGGCGTAAGCGACCTTCTTAGATTTTCATTTATAAAAATTGAATGCTTACATAAACGCTGCTGAATTATAAATAGTAATCAAGAGCACAGAGAGCACATGTGAACTCAGTAAACATGCTGTCATACTCTTGATGTTGGAAGTTCAGGAAGTCCTCGTTCTTTATATGTCTTTATAGTGTACAAATGAACTATACCCTTCCATGACAATATCACAAACACTATAAACTTTATTTGGTTGGAACCTTTTTTTCCTGCTCAACTTATTGCCGAGTCTGTCATCGGAGAAAACAGTGGTCCTTATCAAATATTTAGAAGTAAATTTACAATGTAAATACACGAATGAATAATACAAGATGTGTCACAGTATATATCAGTGCGTTATAATATAAACGTAGAATAATTTGTCAAAGAATAAATAATTAGTCATTATATTCATTATAAGTTATCAGGTCCTATGCTTTCGGTTTTTTTGACTTTTTGACAATTTTGATTGACGCAGCATATCAATTATCTGATATTTTAACATCGTTTCACCATCCTGACTCATTATCTCCACATCTCTTCTATACACAGAACTACCACTCATCCTTCTCGTCATTACACGAAACAAATATCGTCGAATCCTTTCCGATGCATTGACTGGAACCTTTTCTTTAGGCTCATCTTCCTCTGAATTATTTTCATTGTTATCCTCTTCTATCATACTGCCTATCTCTTGTAAGGTTTCTATGACCGAAAGCCGCCGTCGTAGGTTTGCCGATGGTTTTCTTTTATTCGGAGCACGCTTTGAGCTGAATTTGAAAGATTAATAATGACCAACACATTTATTTAATCTCCCTTATAGCTAAGCTAGCTAAAACTATTATACTTTTACATGTATTTCTTTCAATTTGATTATTCTTCAGAAGAATGTATCCTAGATGACTGACTTTTCTAATGTAATAAAAAAAACAGTTTTGTCTTCCTTGAAAAAAACAACACTCATTTCACTCCATTGATGTATTTTGAATGAAAGACTTATCTAATAAGGCATGTGTTGGTACCAATTGTCTACTTACAGTAAAAGATCAAATGTTCGCATCCATTGATAAGGCGTATCCTGATAAGGCGTATCCTTAACAAATCAAATATTTTTCAATGGCAATAACGTATTAATTGCACAGTAGCAATTCTGATCATGATATAAATAGTTTGTACCTGAAATCTACAAATCCTTTTGCGTCTATGTTCAGCCGTTTTACGAGTATTTCTGAACATTTGTCACTCAGTGGATTCTTCAATATCTAAAAACAAACAAATGGTATATCTTGATTATTCCAGTTACAGTGCAACTTCTGTACAACAGGTTCAATTCTCCCCAATGTATAATAACTTTAATGTCTCTAGAGCAGTACCTCTCAGCAACAACCAAATATCTGTCTCCAAACGTGTGTTACTCTGCACAGGTGACACGGTATTTTATGTTTTTTCAATCGGAATCAAGACAAAGGCTTTCTATAAATTCGTAAAAAAATGTCATTGCGGAAAAATGCAGATATTTGTAACTTAGATACTACATTCTAATCGATATTTACTCATATTGGAAACATTTGAAATAATATCTTAAAAACTCTCGTATCTAATAAGTATCTGACTTCCAAGATTGTTCAAAAAATTATATCGTTTCGTATCAAAAATCAACGTCATTGTGTGAGGCAGTGTACCCATATAGGTATTCAGATAATTATCTGCAAATTTTTTTTATGAAATGTGAGCATTATAGGGTCATTCATGGCTTTATTGATCCTAATTACGCATATGGGAGGTTGCATGGACACATCTTCATAATTATTATCTATGAATCAATTATGTGCACTTCTAAATAATAGCATACATTTTATCAGACGTGCTATCATTTTTGAACTGAATTGATTATTCATTGTAAACAATTTGAAATGCCTTCTTGACACATGTTTCTGGAGATAAGTAACTTGTTTTATTACCTTTAGTGAATTGACCATATCATCGGGCGTTAAACCACAACGGAGTTCATCGGATATACCTGTAAAATTCAAACAAGCATACATCGTATACCCGTAGAAAAAATATTTCGTCAGTCAGTCTTTATGTAGCAAATGATTAACATTGAAACGTTCAGGAAATATTTTTCATTCTTTTATGCATTTTGCAAAAGAAAACAATGATACTTTATAATGACCTATAAGACGGAACAATTATAAATTACCTATAAGTAATTTCACAATGTTCACACCAAGCACGTAGCTAAGTTCTTCTAGGACATGCCAAGAATCTTCCTTCAGAAGCAAGCCTTCATCATTGTCTTGAATCGACATATCATGTCCTCGTAGTTTACCATGATGAACTGTCAGTTCCCGGGTACTCCTTAATTCATCAAGGACTGCCAGAAAGTTCTCGTCAACACATATCTCCTGTAATCAGCTAGCGAAGTTTAGATTCTTACATCAAGAGTTATAAATTTTTACAAATGAATTAGCAAAACAAGTGTGTAGCTTAAAATGCTGCATTAAAATAAGTTCAAGAAAGACGAATACATAGGAAATACAAGGTTGATATCGCAATGGAGATCCGGTGAGCAAGAAAGTGTATTTTAGCGAGCTTTATAATCTTCACTATAAACTGACCATCGCTGAATAAGATAATAAATTTACTACAATTTGTAATCAGTAACTGCAGCTATATGATATCTAAATCAACCATGAATATACATGTATAATGTAATGGTAAAAATATCAATTATATGAAATCAGTTGAGTATATTGATCCTACATTAAACCAAAATTCAACGTCGGTTATTCGTAAAACAGATACATGTTGTGTACAAGAGTTCGTGTATAGGTTAAATCTTTTTTAGATACAGTATCTATGAAATTATTAGTTACATCCCTTATATAATGTCACTTTGATTAAACTTTATCTTTCTAGTTTCAATGAATTAACACAGATTCTGGTAGATTCACTTCAAACATCTAAAAGTAATAATTTAGATTTGTTTTGCATATGGATTTCTTTGGCTGATATTGGCTCAGATTAGTTGCGTAATTTAACATGGTTACCAGAAGCGAAACAGGTTGGACTGACCAAATTATATTGTTTCATGTGTTGTAAGGCAAACATGGGATACCCTCGGTTACTTGTGCGTACATGTTTACCTGGGATGAAATTTTTATAATTATTAAAATTATTAAACAAGTTTAAGGGAAATCAAAAAGGGTTTGGTATATTGAGGGTGTGTATTTAGAAATAGCCTGCCACAGTCATTCTATAGAGTACCTAAGTAGATTGTACATCTTTAGGTAAGCTTACGGAGCTTAAAAATAATTAAATAAAAATTGTTTGCAAAGTATTTATGTTACATTAAATTTCTTTGAAAGTTTTTTATTCTTATTTTATTTCTGATTTCATACTTACTTTTAAGTATAATATTAAGATAATTCTTCAATGAAAAAGCTGTCAAAGATGCCAACAAAAAAGCAAATCATAATGAACAATACTCCAGAAAAAATAATATAAAAATAATGGACATAGCTGAAGATAGAAATGAAAATATCCAAATATTGACAGATAAAGTAATAAACCTTCTGCAACAAAAAGATGTCAAACTCGAGAAAGAAGAAATAGCAGCTATCCACAGACTACCTTCAAGGAATCACAAAATAAGACCTGTCTTAATAAACACTATCAACAATGATGCCAAGTCCAAAATAATGAGGAAAAGGAAAACCATGAAAGACTCAGGACACAAGTTGGTAGATGATGTAACAACATTAAACTCTGGTTTAATAAAACCGTTTACTGTTGCACCCTTCAATAAAAAGTGCATGGTTCTTTAATGGATCTGTCTATGGACTAAACTGAAATGGATGAAAGAATAAAATTTGACTTGTATGACAATATTAATGAAGTGATAAAAACTTTCAGAGAAAAGAAGACCCATGTAAAAGACAACATCTACAAGATAAATGTATCATAGACAGGACGAAGAGAACAGATGAAAATATATATGTAATTATAGACTAAAATATAATGATTTTCTTTTTTTTCAGTTGTTTCAAAAAAATTAATGTGTCCCAGCAATTAAAAGACAATTAATTAAAAAGTTAAAATGTACATATTTCTAGATTATTTTTCAAATAAATTCTTATGTTGATATAAGCAAAAATGGCTACATTTAAGTAGCTTTTTAATATATTATATTCTTAACTAAGTGATTTTCTAAGCAGGTGATAGTTAATACTTAATAACATGCTATACCTATATACATGTAAATTATTTAGTTATTTATAGAATATTGGAAAATTGTATTATCATATAAGGCCATTTCATGCTATAAATGATCAATCCTATTTGCCAAGTAATGCTTAAAATAGATTTGTGGATTGAAAACCTTGACAATTAATAAATTCTTGTATAATATACGTTATACGTATAAAAATTTTCTATATTTTTAAATACAATAATTGTTATTTTGATCTGGCAATAGGTATATTTATTAGATAAATGGTCTATATCTTAAATAAAGTACTTGTTATTTTGAACTGGTAATTATATATTCATAAAACTTGTGAGTGAAATATGGATGAAATAAACACTTTATTTTCATCTTTTCGAAATAGAAATCTTATTTGATTCATTATCATATGATATTTGTGTGTATTCATGTATCACTTTTAATGATACTGTAAAGAATTCCAATTTCTCTATCTACAAAAAAACCTGTCCAGTAAGTATTTAGTTTTGCTGCTGGTTAACATCTATCCCTCGCCTTTATCGGGAGGGAGTTTTACTTTCAGTGGGATGGTTAGACTCACTGGGTAAAATATGGTATACAATATCCTGTGAGGTTGCCAGTAGTAATTCTATTACTGCTATGATAGAGAAATACTTGACTTATTACTTATAACATTATTTTTTGTCTAATATTTACTCTAAGTTTCATATTACACTTTATGTTACCATGATCACATGATGTTATAATTGTTTTATTTATCTATTTGCATAACAAAGTCTAAATAAAACATATTTTCTGTTCTATATAATTTACAGAAAATTCAGTTTGTTAAATTGTTTATGAATAAAATATTTGTTTCTGTTTTTCATTTGTTTACTTGTGAATACCACAATACACCACTAAGAAAATGAATCACATGTTTATGAGAAAATCTTTGATATCCTCTAATTTATTCATTTAGAAATAACAATGAAAAAGAATGTTTCAATTTTTGATATAATTAGATGAAACATAAACATATTATGCATCTTCTACAAAAAAAATTTCTTCGATAAGTAAATTTTACTTGTTTATTGGCAAAATGTATTTCTTTCTTTATATACAAGCACATTTTTTTATATTTTTGAGGTCAATATGTTATTTAGAAGTGTTTCTCTGGGTTCATGTACATATTGTATTTACTTTACTTAAGTGTAGCTATGTATATTGTAGATATAGTGTTGAATGTATTATTGTAAATAGTAGTTATGAGTAGTCTTAATATTTTCTCTTACAATTGTCGAGGTTTACACGATAGTATCAAGAGAAAAGATGTTTTAGATTTATTTCAGTCAAAAAAGCTGATATTCTCTGCCTACAGGAAACACATTTTATAAAAAGAAATTGAAAAGAAAAATTTATTCTGAATGGAATGGTTTATGTTTTTACAGCCATGGTAGGTCTAATGCCAAAGGTGCGGCTATTTTATGCAGAAAAGGTTAAGATATAAAAAATAATTCTGTTAAAACTGATGATTCAGGAAATTTCATAATTTTACAAATAATGCTTGATTCTATAAATTTCACATTAGTTAATATTTATGCGCCAAACATAGACAGTCCTAGTTTCTTTAAAAACATTTTTGATACTTTAGATTCTTTTGATGATAATGACTCTCTAATTATTTTGTGGAGATTACAAACCTTGTTCAAAATCCTGACGTAGATTATTATAATTATAAATCAAAAAAACAATAATGTAAAGGCAAGAAAATTTTTTAATAAGTATTATTGAAGAAAAAGACCTTATTGATCCTTTAGAGAACTGCATGGTAATATGAAAAAATATACATGGAGACGAACCAACCCTATACAACAAGGTAGACTAGATTTTTTTCTTATATCAAATAGTTTATATCAGTATGTACGAAAATGTGATATTGACATTAGTTATAAATCTGACCATTCAATAATATATTTAGATTTTTGTTTTAGTTCTGTAAGTCATGAAAAGGTTTATGGAAATTTAATAATGCTCTGTTATATGACATTGAATTCCTTGATATTATAAATAAAAAAATAGATGAAGTAAAAATTACAATATTGTTTACCAGTTATACAATATAGACTATGTTTTAGACCCAAAAAACAAAGATGTAAATTTTGTTATAAATGATGAACTTTTTTTAGAAACTCTTTTGATGGAAATAAGAGGTAAAACTATATCTTACAGCTCTTATAAGGTCAAAGAAAGAAAAATAATTATGAAAAAAAAGTTTAATTGAAGAAATTATTCTTATAGAGCAAAACCTGACAATTGAAAATAAAGACAAACTTTTACACTTACAGAATGAATTGACTGAATTAAGAAATAGAAAAATAAGAGGTGCTATGATAAGGTCAAGGTCACAATGGATTGAATCTGGAAAAAGCCTACTAGTTTATTTTTAAACTTAGAAAAAACACATTGTTCAGCATAAAATTATTCCTTTTCTAGAACTTGATGATGGATCCTTTATATATGATCAAAAAGATATTCTTACAAAGACATGTAGTTATTATGAAAATTTATATAGAAATGTTGATATAACTGAAGAATCTAAGATTGATATGGAATTAGAAAATTGTAATGTTACCAAGTTGTCTCAAAATGAAGCATTGAATCTTGAAGGTCTACTTTCATATGATGAAGTTTCTTTTACATAAAAACATGAAAAATGATAAAAGCCCAGGTTGTGACGGATTTACAGCAAATTTTTTAAAATATTTTGGAATAGAATTGGACATTTTGTTGTAAAAAGCTATAAACTTTGCTTATACTGTTAATTCTTTTTTCTAGAAATCAAAAGCTAGGAACAATAACATGCATTCCAAAAGAAAAAAACCAAAAACAATTTTTTAAAAAATTGGAGACCAATAACTTTATTAAATGTAGTTTATAAATTAGCTTCAGGTTCCATAGCAAATAGACTTAAACTTGTTTTAGATATTTTAGTTTCAAAGGATCAGACAGGATTTGTTAAAAATAGATATATTGGTGAGAACACTCGATTATTGTATGATATTATGAAATATACTGAGGATAATGATATACCAGGTTTAGTAATAATGATAGATTTTGAAAAAGCATTTGATACGTTATCATTTACATTTATAGAGAAATGTCTAGAACTTTTTCAATTTGGTCCTATGTTTAAAAAAATGGATATCTTTATTTTTATATAATACTGAAACTTGTGTTATTTTAAATGGATTTTTATCAAAGTTTTTTCAAAGTTAAACGAGGTTGTAGACAAAGGTGACCCTATTTCACCTTATATCTTCATCTTATGTGCAGAGATTTTAGCAATAAAAATAAGACAATGTAAAGATGTTAAAGGTATATAATATAGATGGGGAGGAATATAAAATTACACAATTTGCTGATGATACTTCACTTTTGCTAGATGGATCAGAAAATTCCCCTTAAATACTGTTTTAAAGTTATTAAACACGTTTTCAGAAAATTTCAGGATTGAAAGTAAATTTTGATAAAACTAAAGTTATTTGGATAGGCTGCTCTTAAAATACAGTACAAGATCTATTAAGACTAAAAATGGAAACTGACATGGGGTGATACACAGTTTAAATTGTTAGGTTTGATATATTTGATGTTGATTTAGAAAAAATGATAGAGTTAAATTTTAATGAAAAACTTCACAAAAAAAGTTAAAAATAGTATAGGATACTGGAAAAAAAGAATGTTAACACCTATAGGAAAAATAACTGTTGTTAAGTCATTACTCCTTCCTTTATTCACTCATTGCTTTACAAGTTTACCAACACCTAATTCAGCATTTTGAAAAACACTTTATGACTTATTTTATAAATTTATATGGGAAGGTAAAGCAAAGATAAAGCAATCAGTAGTTATTAAAAACATATCAGGAAGGTGGTCTAAATATGATTGATATTGATAGTTATATACATTCTGTAAAGATAAAATGGTTTAAAAAGGTATGTTAGTAATAGTAACAGTAAATGTTATAAGCTAGTGATGGCTTTATTCAATATTGATAAAGTGTTTAGCACAGGTAAATTGTTTTGTTAAATTGACAATTGATAAAATTAAAAATGCTTTTTGGATAGATGTTTTTAAAAAGCTTATATGAATTTTTACAGATAAACTTTGTATAGACAGTTTAGAACAAGTGTTACAAATGCCATTGTTTTACAATCATAAACTTGTTAGCAGGAAATAGATACTTTTATATCAAAATTTTCTATGAAAAAGGAATCAGATTTGTTAATGATATTATTAATCCCCAAAGGCGATTTTTGTAGATTTAACTTACTTAGAGCAGGTGACACAAAAACAAGTAAATTTTTTACAATATCATAGTTTGAAAAAAGCAATATTATTATAATACACAAAAGCTTAACATTTCTATTTGTAAAGATTTTATTAATGTTCAATACCCAATTATGGAGTTGTTATATAAAACCTATTTTAATTACACAAAATATCAAAAAGAAATATGTTTATGAAATTCTAGTTAGAAATCAAGAGTGTACCAACATGTCAGAAAAATGGAACTCATTTTTACAAATTTTGATATAATTGGAATTTAATATATAGTTATGTATTTAAATGTACCAAAGATTTCCTATATTCAGTGGTTTCAGACAAGAATAATTCATAGAACTTAGCAAACCAACTCACTTTTATTCAAAATGAAAATTGTCAATAGTAAAATGTGTATTTTTTGCAAATTGCCAAGAGGAAACTCTGTTGCATTATTTTGGGAATGTCCAAAAATTCAATTGTTATTTTCAATATCTGAAAGACAAGATAGATAATTTGATGATAATTTTAATTTGTAAATCATTTATTTTTAGGTTCTGAAGTTAATGATTTTAAATATGATATTTTGTTTTTAGAATTAAAAAGATATATTTATTTGTCAAAGAGAAAAATCGTGTTACCTACAATACCTGGTTTTAGAAATAGTCCTTAAAATTGTTGGCGTGGAATATTTACAAAAATACAAAATATGACCAAACATGTTAAATGAAAGGATGGCAAAAATTGGGTAAGAACTGTTAATAAACTAATAGGGGCCTACACTAAATCAATTTACCCCAAACCAATATTCTTTGTTTGTTTTGAAGCTGTTGCATAATACATTATCATACATAATTGTTATAACATATTATATGAAAATTTGATTGAATGTTTGAATATAATGTATATTATAATTATTAAAAAAATATTATTATAGATGATGATTTAAGAATATTATGTAGATATCATGTAAGGTATCAGAGGGATGACCCCGACCCTCTCATACCTATTACGCGGGGTAAATAAACGGGGTTACCCAGTGGGGCCTCAAAAAAAAAAAAAAAAAAAAAAAAAAAAGATAATTTTTCAATCAGTTATATATTGCTCTGATAGTTTTTGAATACATTACTATAATCTAGTCTGTTTTACTGTGCTATTATTTTAATTATCTCATGCATAGTCTTGTAATAATAATCTAATCTGTGATATATACAATGCAATATGCATTTACATGCCCTTTTATGATGTGCCATCAATTTCACAATTGATTAAGTGAGGCTCTATCTCTCCTTTTTGTGTTTTCCTTTGTATTGAACTGCCTAACATGGTTCATACATGTATGCTCATGTTTGTTTTGATTAAACCATGTTTGTAAATATTTTATATGCGGAAATTAATGTTAGTTAGTCTTACAGATTCTTTAAACAATCACAACATATAGATTAATATTTAAATAAACATCAACAATAAATATCTTCAAATTGCAAAAGATTTCTAGCTTAAAAGTTTATTATTTAGGAATATACAAAATGATCGGTACTCACACTTAAATCTAAACATGTTATACCACTGCTTGGATTATCTTGCAGGAACCTCAAAACAACTATTGCATCTTCGTGTGTTAAAGGATTCTTCTTTATCTATAAACGTAAGAGTATCGCATAATGTTCAAACATGTCTCATTGTACCTTTAAAGCTTGCATGCCTCCAGATGAGTCAAAAAAAATTTTTTTTAAATAAACTTGAGAAAAATTAAGATTAAAAGAAAAGTAAAATATTATTTGCGATTAATGAGTGATTTTGCAGTATTTAACATTATATTCCAACGTTGGGACAAACATATTAAGTTTTTTTTCATATTTTGACCTCTTTTGGGTAATTTACATGGATTGAAAGTGTCACTTACAAAGAGCAAATTACTTTCTTTATTCATTTCACAATATTTTACTTTGAAAAACGTTTTCAAAATTTTCATAAAAATTAGCATATGTTTTAAAGCATGTTGCTTAAACCCTTAAAAATCTCATAATTTAAAATCTTAATACATTTACACTGTATCCTAATTAAAATTATTCTCAAAATAAAGATTTGTTTAGATCATGTCGCCTCTACTACCCTTTAGAATAATTTTGCCATATTTACACGACGAATTATATTTAACTGTAACTTCCAACAGGTAAATTCATATGTTTTTAATTGGTCAGACTGATTTGATATTGCTACCTATAGATGTCTCAACTTGAGTCAAACTTACGTGTAGTGTTTTAAGTGTCGTATTTTTCCTCAGACTGGTACAAAGTTTGTCTAGACATGCTCTATTTATCCTGTTATCACTGATATTCAGTTCTGTTAAAGTGTTATTCTTCTCTAAAGCTTTGCCTAGTGCCGTGATTCCTTCCATATGAAGTCCGTTCCAAGACAGATCCAATGAGGTTATGCTTGTATTTTTCTGTTAACGGAAAAGAAACAAGATCAGTGCAACAAATGACATCCATTAAAAGTGTTGGCTAAATAAGACTGCTTGCATAATCGTATTTTTATAAAGAATACAGACATAAGGTTGTGAACAGAAAACATAAATACAAACACTCAAACCTAGTTCATAATCTAGAAAAAATGACCACAGAAAGCATTTGTCAAATAAATATTTAATAAGTTAATTTTTTTTTTAATAAAAACAAACGTATTTGAGTTTTATCTTTTCTTTGCATAATTAACATAATTGAGTATAAGAATAATGAGTATGGACCTACAACAAGAGCCTCTGCAACTTTGATTGCTCCTCTACGATGTAATTTGTTCCAACTGAGGTCGAGATGCTGTATTGTATCACTCCACACTGTGAAAGTCAGAAATGTTAATACTGGTTGCATTTTAGATATGATAATATTTCTCGTGTTGAGTTTGAAAATGTATAATACCGGTATTCAATTTAGATATTTAAAAAAAATCACATTTCATTGAGTTAGTTCGATCTACATATATATTGTAAGGATCTGACATTCTAGCATAATTTTGAAATGTACTTACAACAGAACTTATAATGAAATCCAAGTGACATTGTGAAATCCTATAGCTTATTCATAATATGTTGACTTCTACAAGATAAAGATTCACTTACCTGATTGATCTGAAGGAACCCTGTATTAACACTTATTGAATTTGCAATTTAAGCTGATAGAAATGTTAAACTTACCTTATTGTATAGCAGAAAACTGATTTTCTCTTTACATTTTCTGTGTAGCAGACGTCCAATGACAGACATCTTTGAAATCTGTCACTTCATATTTTATATTGAAGATTTCTTATTGCTAATATCAATTTCAGTCAAATTCAATTCAAGAACTTAATTTATGTAAAGTTTATGATTGATTAAGGTCAGAAATCCTTAAGTATTCACTACATGTTTCTGTATATTAATGATTTTCGTATGTAGATTTTATATGAGATTTCAATATGGCCGCCATTGAAATCCAAGATTTCAGATTCAGAAATCCGGCCGTCTGTCCATTGGAGGATTTCCGGATTTCTGTTGTTTCATTGGTGGATTTCAAACATCGAACCTTATAAAAGTCGGAATCCAACCAATGTTGTCACTTCGGTCTTGACCTCCAAGTAATGTAAATAAAGTTGTAAAACCGCCAAAGTTCAAATTCAGTAAACATCTTACAAACGACATTGTTATCCAACCTTGTAAGTTTGTATGTATTTAAATCCAATATTAGTAACTCACTAGACACTGTTGTTGCCGAAATACTTGTTATAAACTTAGAAAACTGTATAAGAATTGTATTTATTTTCCCCATCCTGACATGCGTTTACAATGGTGTCAGAAGTAATGGGATGGTCTAAATTATCTCATAAACACAAACAAGATACAAATTCATGTTCAAGAAGATTTATTGTAAATATAGACACGCACAGAAAAATTTCTGAAATAATCAATAATATCAAGATGACCAGTATTTAATACAAGAATGAATGATACTGAGACAAACATCAAATTATGTTTAATACATAAAAGCCGCCGTTCAATAACAATTCAGAACCAACTGGACATATATAATATCAATTAATCTTCAAATTCAAATAAACATATATGAAACATATTAATCAAAGCAACTCTATTTCAAATACATGCAAGCTAAAACATATGCATAAAAAAAAAATTAAGCTAAACATTTCAAAAATTAAGGGTGGGCGGGAGTGGTTGAAAAAATTTCAAATTTTCACTGAACAAAGACGTGTCTATCAAAACTGTAAGGAAAAAACCGCGAGAAGACTATATAAAGCTGTACGCGTAGTGATATACAAATCAGTGAAGCAGAAAAATATTAACCAATGAAAAATTATGTAACATTCAATAATTAGAAGATTTTGTAAGTAAACAAAATGCTATAAATTATCTCATAAACACAAACAAGATACAAATTCATGTTCAAGAAGATTTATTGTAAATATAGACACGCACAGAAAAATTTCTGAAATAATCAATAATATCAAGATGACCAGTATTTAATACAAGAATGAATGATACTGAGACAAACATCAAATTATGTTTAATACATAAAAGCCGCCAACTCCCGCCAAAATAAACAAAATAAAGCAAAAAAAAAAAAAAAAAAAAATAAATAAATAAAAGCAAAAAGCAAACAAAAAGCAAACAAACAAAAAGGCAAAGCAACCAAGCAGAAACTGAAATAAATTTCACTTACATATCTTCTATTACACAAGATTCAGTCATAAATACACATGTAATCTTCCTTTACACAAGATTCATACAGGCAAAACTGCAATTATGAAAAAAAAGAAATTATAACAAGGAAAAAGATACATATATACGTACACATTCGAATTAACATACAAATATATCACATACATACATTGCACATATATAAATATACATTCAAATTTACATACAATATATCACATATACACATTGCTCATATATACATATACAAGTACATTCAAATTTATATCCAAATATAACAAATATACACATTGCACATATATACATATACAAGTACATTCAAATTTATATCCAAATATAACAAATATACACATTGCACATATATACATATTAAAGTTGATATACAAATAAACCACATCTACACATTGCACAAGAAAAACTAAATAAAGAAAGCATCAGAAACTGTCACCACAAAGTCAGTTCTCATAAGTAGCGTCACATACCACTACTATATGTCACTAATCTTCAAAGGAATAAGATACTTCCTTTAAGAAGAAAGACAAACAGTCTGATGTTTCTAGTCTTTATTAAACAGTGCAATGATTTATCATGATGTGAAAAGACTATCATCAACATAATAAAATTTCTTATCAATAAAAACAAACCTAATGTTTAAGAAGATGAGCCACTGTATTAAATAAAAAATAAACGAAGGCGACGAGTTACCTTCAATGTTAAGATGCAAACCACCATCACGAACTGCAAATAAATCCCTCAGAGGCTTACCAAATTTAAAGAAGGGACGAAATGAACAAATGAATTGAACTTTACGTTCCAAACATTTCTGTTTCAAAAGAAAATTAATTCTCTTAACCTTTGAACCAGTTAAAACATGATCCACTGGTCTAGGTAAAATACTCGAGATGATAATATGAGTAGAAGACTTTGCTCTAATAACTGAAATCAAATTATTAAACAAACTTAAAATCTCCTCTTCAGAAAAACGGTTGATATCATTTGTACCAACATGTATAATTGTAAAGGGTTTGGAGACTAAAACAGGATCATTTTCAATCTTGGAAGTTAATCTGGAGATATTAATACCAGGAAATGGATGAACCTTCGTCAAACGAATATCTGTCACATGTTTGGCTATTGAGTCAGACAAGATGTAGACTTGAGGACCTGTAATAATAATAATTGACCATCATAAAAATTGTTGAAACATATTTCTCATAATTTTAGCTTTATCTGACCAGTTTAATTCTAAATAACATTTATACGAATCCGACTTCCAATCCCCCATTAATTGAATATGCTCGGGGGGAATGTCTGACTTAAAGGCCAATGTAGTAAACCCTCGACGAAAGGAATGTGTTGAAAAATTCGAAGGATTAAGACCTATATTTTCAATACAAGATCTTAATTTGCGCTGAAACATATGATATGTGATACAAGTTCCATTAGGAAGTGTGAACAGGGCTCCTTTGAAATGATTAATTTTCAACTTCATAACCTCTTCAAATGCTGAAACAGGACATAACCGGTGATCTCTAAATTTGAGGAGAGGACTGACTACCTCCCTTTCACCAAATTGAATAGTTTTAGTCCAGTGGAAGGAAACCAAAATATACTCTCCAAAATATTGAACATTTTCTAATTTCAAATATTTGCCATACTCAATATCAGATTTTGAAGTAGGAACTAAATTCGACTTTCTAGCAACTAAGAAAAAGGCAAATAGAAATAAACACCAAAATACTTTATTTGCTTGATCTGAAAAATCTAAATTATCAAAAATTTTTAAAAGAATATCTATAGTAATCGGTTCTGCCTTTTTAACTGCATGTGGATTTAATCTGGATAAACCCCGCAAAGTTAAATTTAATAAATAATTATTGATATGATCCACACTAAAACCTAAACAAAAATGTAAAGTTCTAACTCCACTAATATAATTTCTAATACTGTTGACTGACTTGAAGGATCTACTTAAAAACTGTGCATACAACTGAAGAGTATTGGTTGAAGCTGGTAAATAAGAAAAATTGAAAAATAAACAAAACAAAATAAAACTTTCCCATTGAATACGTAAATTTCTATTAGTTCCACAAGCAAAGGCAGAAGATGTTGAAATCTTTAAATCTTGCTTTAATTGCTTAAATTCCATATCTGAAAGGTAAAATTAAATTCCCAGTCATGTAGAAATTCAAAATTACTGTTTTCAACAAAATATTCCTGTAAACTTTCATTTTTAACTCGACTATAAAATTCATTTTTAAAAGAATCATTTAAATGCTATCTGGAAAGACAATCAGCCAACCTATTCTCCTCACTTTTCAAATGAACAGTCAACTGCTTTAATTTGAATTTCATTTAATTGATGTTATAAAGCAAATTTCCCTCAAACATTGTTGTAAGAAAATATTTCTAGCCTTGCCAGAATTAATAACTATACAAACTGCTAAGTTATCACAATAAATGACAATCTTTCTTTTACTCATAAATGAAGCCCATAACTTTAAACAAACAACTAAAGTCAGCATTTCTAGACAAGTAATACTCAATTGTTTTTCTAATATAAATTTAGGGAATTCACTATGAAAGAACTTCTCCTGACAGATACCCCCACAACCAGATAAGCAGCTATCTGAACTAAAAACATAATCTATCTCAGACCATTCTCCATAATCAATTAAAGAAACACCATTATATAATGGTAAAAATCTGTCCCACCATAGTAAATCTTTCTTGACCTCTGAGGGAATAGTGAAAACCTTGTCATTATCACTATAACAATCTCTTAACCAGTTAAGCAGTCTATTAACAAAAATACGGCTAGACCTGACACAAGCCCCTATAAAATTAAGTTTACCAAGTAACTTTTGTACCTCTTTTAAAGAAGCTGAATCTTTGTTTAACCAAGATTTTATTAATAATTTATCTCTATAAGCCTATCCTTTGTAATTTCCATAACCATATTTTTAGTATCAAATGCAATACCTAAAAATATCATATAGTCAGAAGGAGGACTAGCTTTTTCAACCGCCTCGTCAATCCCACTTTTAATAAATAACTGCCTAAGAAGTGTGAAAGCAAACATAGACATTTCGTTCCTTTCAACACCTGCAAAATCATCTAGATAATTCAATACGGCTAACCCACAATTGTGCATCATAAAAGAAAAGGCATTAGTGACCCTTTGACAAATGTGAGCAGAAGACCTTAATCCCATAGGTAAAACAGTGTCGAAAAATAAATGTTTCTTCCATTTAAACCCTACTAAGTTATAACTGGAAGGACAAATACTTATTTGTCTGTAAGCCCGATGCAAATCTAATTTGTACATTAAACAACCAGGACCTTTAGTCTTTATTAAAGCAATAAAATCATCTATTTTAGGATATATCAATTCAACCTTTTTTCCTAAATAAAATTCTTTAGAAACAAATTGGTTAATACTGTTGCCATTCTTTGGAAAACTAAGATCCAGAATAACTCTACGTTCACATGGTGTTGATTTGGGAACTGAATTTAAAGGGGAAATAACCATACCCTCTTCAAAAGGACATTTATTAAACGGACCTATAATAGCATCGTAAGAAGCTTCCTTTTTGAGATATTTTTCAATATCATAAGGAAAAGCTCTCGCGCCTGAATGGTTTTTTATATTTCTAGGTGTTAATAACCTTGATTCTTGACTAATATCGTCAAACTCTAATTCAATAGGAAAACCATATCTAAGTAGATCACACACTAATAAATCACTGTAACCATTTAACATGGTTTTCATAAATTCTATATCAATCTTAGTGTTAACTGGAATTTGACAACCCTCATAATTATACAATTTTGATGATTTTACATATTTATGAATTTCAATTTTTTCAGTGGAAGTGGTAACCAACTCTTGTTTAAAATTTATGCACACTGAACATTTTCTTGTATGCTGACAAAAACACTTTGTTTGAATTTTATTGGTAGGTTCAAAAACACAAAATTTGGGTAAAAATAAGTTCACTGCATCATTTTCTTTTTTATCTATGGAACAAGATATGAAATTTTCTTTGTTCTGTCAAGAAGCATGTGGACATGCAGTTGAACATTCAGGGTGATTTAATTCTTTTTTATCAGTTTGCCAACAAGTAGCGCAAATGTGCTTTGCGAAACGAGTTTTGCCTTTGATAACAGTAACATGGGAAGATTTTTGTGAACATTTGTTTCTTTGGTATTTAGAACAAAACCAAACTCTAGTGTCATCTGATGAAGGAAAGTTTTCCTGTGAAAAATTAAAATTTGATCTGGGTCTGAACTGACCTGATTCCCCTGTAACATTTCTAGTTTTAATCCTATACCTAGATAAAACAGTGGATTCAACATACAGGAAATCATCTCCCCAGACAATGTGACCTAATTCAATCTCACGTAAAACTGCTGCGTATAAAGACTTGATTGCAACAAATTCGTAAGAACTACTTAAATACATTAATTTTTTCAACAACTCTAATCTACCTTTTCTTTCTTTATTGGTTGTTATATCAGAAGAAATAATCTCAAGTTCTCCAGCAATAAACAGATTGAACTCAATATTATCAAAAGTGACATTTTTACTCACAAAATCAAACCTTAAATTTGAATGTGGATATCTTTGTTCATTCACAACATAATCACTTGATTTTGCATTTATACCAGATCTTTTATTATGGTTATGCTTTTTATTTTTCTTCAAATAATTTTTGGTGCACTTGTTATCTTCAATGATGTCTTCATCTTCCGATGTGGATACAAGTTGAGATTCATATGAATCAGAACTGTCAGAGTTTGAAGATTCGTTCAATCCTAATTTCAACAATTCTTTTTTTGCTTTTTTCTTCAAAGAAGACATTTGTCGCAATGAGTCAATAGTCAAAGAGTTAATACCTGTTTTTTCTGATGAAATCTCAGTGGACGATGGGTTACCGAAGCTTGCTGCCAATTTGGGCTTCGATTTTCCCGACGCTATCGTTGATTTTGGTCGAACTATCGCACCATCCGAACTCCCTTCACCTAACGAATGTTGTAAAGTTTCGATATAACTCTCCCTTTCCTGCACCTGCTTTCTCAATATCTCCAACTCCCGCCGTTCTTGTAAACGAGATTGGACCTTGTCCAATTCCTGCAACCTATGCATCAATTTCAGTTTTTCTGTTTTTCCCGACTCTTCGTCAAGATCGCTAGGAGGCTTAACCGGTGTCGATAATAAATTATCCGTCGTGGAATTTACATTTGTTGTCATTTTTCCCGCTGAGAGGTTCCCGATGGGGTTTTGAACTGATGAAATTTCAGTTCCTGTATTTTTACCAGCAGATTGGTGTTTAACCTTGATAGTTTCAGGTTTGACAATTGAAGGAGAACTAGTTCCATCTTCATGTAACACTTTGTAATTCATGACTTTATCTTTATTTCTGTCAGATTTACGATCTGCCATATTTAACAAATAAAATAACAAAATGTTCTTCAAAAAACACAGAATAAAGTGTTCCTCTAAAGACACTTCACATCGGCACAAATATAGTTCCTTCAAATGTTACATTTTAAATTCAAATTTTCAAACTAAAATCAAAATGAAGATCAAATCCAAGATGGCCACAGTAAAGACCGTTGAAAAAATTTCAAATTTTCACTGAACAAAGACGTGTCTATCAAAACTGAAAAAATTTCAAATTTTCACTGAACAAAGACGTGTCTATCAAAACTGTAAGGAAAAAACCGCGAGAAGACTATATAAAGCTGTACGCGTAGTGATATACAAATCAGTGAAGCAGAAAAATATTAACCAATGAAAAATTATGTAACATTCAATAATTAGAAGATTTTGTAAGTAAACAAAATGCTATAAATTATTTACCATCCTATAAAACGGACCAGTCAAGTGCATCTCATCCATCCATCCATCCAAAAAAAAATAACATATCAACTGGTGAAGAAAATTTTATTTTGTGAGAAACATACAAATGAACTGACAACAACATTATTTTATTCCTTGAATAAACTGTACTTGTATATCTATTACTGACAGTAAATAGGGATTTAAACAGTATAGTACATTGGATTAACATAAATTATGGGAGACTCTTCAGATTCTGAAATAGAATTTTGTCAGAATAATAACAACAGAGCTTTGAATGATGAAAGGCAAGGTGATGAAGCGCCACATCTTCATATTGAAACTGAAAGAGCTGATTCTCCATTGGATGAGTATGACACAAATGATGAAGAGCCGCTTGCAGGTCAGGACCGAAGTCCCCCTTCAAGGGGTAGACCATCAAAGTGGACGAAACACTATGACAGACATAATGGACTTTCAAGAAAAATGTTGCCAAGAGGACCAAATATTAAACTTAAATCATTTAGTGGAGATGAAAATTTTGAAGAATTCATAGATCATTTTGAAATAAATGCTGAATTAGGATGCTGGGACTTACATAGCATGAATTTAGCCTTAAGGTCCTGTCTGACGGGAAGAGCCCAAGTTTTCATTTCAAGACTTCCTACTGACATTAAATCAAGCTATCGCAACCTGGTTGAGGCCTTGCGAAATAGATTTACCAACAAGTATGATCAACCAGTGTGGGTATCTTCTCTGAAAGCAAGAAAACGAGGTCAAACAGAATCTATTGCGTCTTTTGCAGATGCTCTCTCCGAACTTGCACGCAAAGCATATTCTGATCTGAGTTACAATGCACAGGAGCGAATGGCTTTAGATCAATTGTACAATAACCTGTGTCCTGAGCTTCAGTATAAGTGCATCGAAAAAAACTGTAGTACTATAGATCATGCTGTCAGCATTATACAAACGTATGAAAGTGTTTTGGGTTACAAGTAGCAAACTCACATTCCCATGGCATCATTGACCAAGACATTTAATGAAAAAATGTGAAAACAACTGATATAGAAAATCAGAGACTTAATATTTTAGATTGTAATATCCAACAATGGACAGGTACACATTCAGATAATTGTTCTGCTTTTTAAGTTATTGTATCCGAAAAAGTACAAACATCAATGTGGGTTATGGTAGAGGTACCAAACAAAAACTTTATGTTGCCAGTTTATTTTTTTTAAATCTAATTACAAAGAAAATTCTCTTCAAACAGTAGATAGTGTTGTGTTAAAGGACTCGTCATGCACTCAAGCGAATGGAACAAACTATATGGACCATCATGTGGTAATCAAACAAAATAGTGACTTTGGAACTTGCACTTCAATAGGTGACCTATATATATTTTTAGAATTGGAAAAGTAAGCATGGTAGCCTGTAAACCTAATACATGCATATCTCAGATGGGCACAACAAAAGAAAGAATACCTACTATGCTAAAAGTGTATTAAGAATGACCATAGATAACAACACCTTTCACGGATGATAAAATTAATTTTGGAGGAATGGAAAGCGGGACACGGTAATGCTGGCCTGATCACCCAGGGATTACGATGAGATGACAATTGTGACTTCATTAGGATGATGTCACGTGTGTTAATGGCCATGAGAGTCTGGTCTTAACGTGTGTGATTCTATAATGTGAAGCTGCTGTATTCTATGGGAAACTTAATGACTGGTAGACATTGGGTTAGAAAAACAGTATCCAGAATAAGGAGATTATCAGAAATTTGTCCAATGCTTTAAAATGGACTAGGAGATATAAAGTATTCAATCTAAAGCAATTATGTATGAATGTAACTATGCTGTATGTTACAAGTATACATATTTAATGCTTCCAAACAAACCACTACCACGTGAGTATCATCCATCTAGGTTACTATTGGAAACATCTTTGAAGCTTAAAGAAATAGTCAAAACTTGGAAAGACACATACATACATGCAGCATCACACTCTAAAGAATTGGAAGATATATTGAAACAAATTGCTGATGTTAAAATTCGCATCTGAATAAAACCTTGACATATTGGCGTCTAATTAAGATGATCTGAAGTATCAACACCTAGGAATTGAATAATATAATTAAGCATGACATAAAAACTAAAATAAGACTGAGGACATTTACATTATCTGATTAAATAACCTTTTCATATAATATATATACATAAAGTAATAATAATTACAGAACAGCAGATGTTTTAACTAACTGTGAAATAAATCATAAATATTTTGTGGTCTAGCACCTATTTCGGACAGTATAAAAAGTTCAGGGAATATCAGTCTTAAAGACTTAGGGAGGGGGTGTGTAAGGATCTGACATTCTAGCATCATTTTGAAATGTACTTACAACAGAACTTATAATGAAATCCAAGTGACATTGTGAAATCCTATAGCTTATTCATAATTTGTTGACTTCTACAAGATAAAGATTCACTTACCTGATTGATCTGAAGGAACCCTGTATTAACACTTATTGAATTTGCAATTTAAGCTGATAGAAATGTTAAACTTACCTTATTGTATAGCAGAAAACTGATTTTCTCTTTACATTTTCTGTGTAGCAGACGTCCAATGACAGACATCTTTGAAATCTGTCACTTCATATTTTATATTGAAGATTTCTTATTGCTAATATCAATTTCAGTCAAATTCAATTCAAGAACTTAATTTATGTAAAGTTTATGATTGATTAAGGTCAGAAATCCTTAAGTATTCACTACATGTTTCTGTATATTAATGATTTTCGTATGTAGATTTTATATGAGATTTCAATATGGCCGCCATTGAAATCCAAGATTTCAGATTCAGAAATCCGGCCGTCTGTCCATTGGAGGATTTCCGGATTTCTGTTGTTTCATTGGTGGATTTCAAACATCGAACCTTATAAAAGTCGGAATCCAACCAATGTTGTCACTTCGGTCTTGACCTCCAAGTAATGTAAATAAAGTTGTAAAACCGCCAAAGTTCAAATTCAGTAAACATCTTACAAACGACATTGTTATCCAACCTTGTAAGTTTGTATGTATTTAAATCCAATATTAGTAACTCACTAGACACTGTTGTTGCCGAAATACTTGTTATAAACTTAGAAAACTGTATAAGAATTGTATTTATTTTCCCCATCCTGACATGCGTTTACAATATCTATATGCAAGATCGTTTAGCTTTTTAATATCTTGCCTTATTGCGCTTATTGTGTTACCATTGATTTGGTTTTCACGATAGAAGATTTCAATGAAGCAAGTACACAAATGTACTAAGAAGTTTGGTTCTTTTTTTTTCATGACATTGTACCCGAGAATATTCTTAACAATGCCATTATTAGGAAAACGAATCGATTGATATATATTCTAAAGTAGTTAGACTGTTTAAGTCGCAATTATATAAATCCAGTCGGAAACACGGAGGAATATAAACTATATTGTTGGCATAATTTCTTTTACATATACAAAATTGTCGAATACGCTGTACTTACATAATGCATCTCCAATTAGTTTGCCACCTTCGTCTCTTAACTCGTTATGTGACAAGATCAAGATCTTTAAATTATTAGTGTCCTAGAATAAAGATCAATAAATTAGAACTGAGACTAAAATCTGGCTATGCTACAATAGCAAACAACATTTTTAAGCATCAGTTACAAGTTATTGTAGAATGCTTGCCAGATAATTGAAAAATGAAATAAAAAAGAGACAAACGTGTGCAAACTGATATTATATATAATCATAAATACAGTACTAGTATACGTCGGAGGCTATCATAAAAAAAGTCCCAAAGAAAATGCAGAAGTGCACATTTGAAATACCTCTATAATCGGACGAACAGCTTCTGCTTGCATGTCTCCAAGACCATTGTCTAAAACATACAATTAATGTTATACATCTATATGTGAATGAATTTATTATTCGTAACATGAAAAATTTACATATCCGTTTTCTCAAGTAAAGGGAAACTACCAATCTTTTCACACTCTACAATGCTGTGATGTGTTACCTCTTCTAACACAACGGATACACATGCACATGTATTACTATGTATGACTTATAAGGGGGCATGTATGGATTTTTTACCTTTCCTTACTAGATAAGTTTGCACAAAATCGGACTTTGCTAATTAACAAACCTTTTTAAAATTAACAAGATTGCATTTTTTCCGTGAAATTGTTCCTATTTCTCTGAAAATGATGTTATAATGGCTGAATAGACACGTTTCCAAGATAGCCACATCAACTTGTCTGTCAAGAAAATTATCTTATCTAATGTGATACATGATGTGACTAGACTTTGTTCCCACATCTTGTTACAATAGTAAGTTTATGTATTCATTTTGGGCCGGATGCCTTAAAACTAACTTTGAATTAAATTAAACATAATATGCTATTTCAAAATAAATAGCTTTAAATATAGCAGAATATGTACATTAATTAATACTTGCTACTAACCTGATATATCCAAGGATTCTAGTGAATCGGTTTTCTTTATGGCATCAGCGAGAATACGTACACCTTCTTCTCCTAATGCGTTACTTGAAACATTCTGGAAATAAAGAAAAAAATAATATTATATTATCATAATTATACTTTTGTATAGAAGTCTATACAATCTACTTTTAGAACTAACTTGTGTTAATTAATGTCTTACTTGTTCATGTGTAACCCGGGCTCAAGATACGCTTCTCATTTTGTTTTACTTGTGGTGAAGTTCTAAATCTGCTAAGTTGAACATCTAAACTGCTGCGTTATTGCTTGTGATTATGTCTAACTGAAGTCTTAGTTTTGTCATACAATGCAACTTGTTTTCACAATTACCATTAACGATGTTTATATTATAAATGTATTAATAAAAGTAAGAAAGCAAAATAAACTATAGTATCAAAAACACCACTCGTATTTAAGGAATGTCTTTGTCAACAATGAACTTTTTATTGCTTTTTTTTTAATCTAAATTTGTTGTAAGTCAAAACTGAATGATTACAATAAGTCTTGACTTACTAGATGTTTAAGAAAGTTGTTTTCTGATATAAGTTCAGCCAGATATCTTGCCCCGTCAGGTCCCAGGTTATTGTCTGTAACATCTAAAGTGTGCACATTTAACGTCTCCTTTAAACAAATATAAAAAAGAAAATTCAAATTTTTCTCTTTTATTTTGTCCATCTAATCAAAGAATACAAAATAGAATATAATTCAATAAAATTCGGCTTTCTTGAACAAATAATATAATTTGTGAACACTCACAGATAAATTAATAGAAAAAAAACATAAACAGTGTACAGTATGTTACCCTTCTGCATTATAAAGGTTTGGAAACATGATAGGTCTCGACCCATATTAAAACATATTTGATTTGTATGATTAGTGTTTGGGTTTATATTTGATTAATATACATGAAATTTAATTGGTTTTCTTTCATTTAATTGGTTTCAAACCCGTGCTCTAGGTTGAGAATGGATGAGAAGTTCTAGAGTGTGAATGTTCAAAGGAACATTCACTTTATTAGTTTAAAGACAAAAGAAAGTTAAACGCCTACCACTAAAGCAATCGCACAGGCCTTCATACCGATTGGGCCAAGACGTTGCCTCTTCAGAACTATTGTATCGTTTAGCAAATGCTTGTAGAAGAATGACGAATGAGGAATTTGAAATCGTTTACAAGCTTTCAGATACAGTTCCTGTGTATAGGTTCCAGGTGTATGCACGAGGTGAGGATATCTTGGCGGTTCCTCGGGCTCTTCACCTACCAAATATATATGAGCCGCATCACGACAAAACCAACATAGTGCGTTTGCGACCAGCATTGATCCAATCCAACCTGCGCATCCACGCAGTCTGATCAGGATCCATGCTGTTCGCTTACAAACTCTATTACAAGTAGAGAAACTGATAGCGAACAGCATGGATTCTGATCAGACTGCGCGGATGCACAGGCTGGTCTGGATCCATGCTGGTCGCAAACGCACTATGTTGGTTTTGTCGTGACGCGGCTCATTTATAGCGATTACATCATGTTTAAAAGATAGAATAGTAACCTATGTTTATATAATATTTAAAAACAAATGCATCAAGTTAAAAAAAAGTCTGCTTTAAGATATTTTTTTAAATCATTTGTCTCACAGACCAATTTTCTAAAATGATTGATTGCCGGGTCACGTAATTATGCATAATACACAAGTTTTTCGCTTGAATGATTTTTGGTTGAGTAATTGCCCTTGAATAAAATATGTGTGTTTTTGTGTACCGAACTTATAACAGAGTTTAAAATCGAGAAATTTCGCCTTTTCCGTATGTCATTATCTTAAGGCTATCGGTTAGTTGACAATATAAATATTGTTTCTAGTCTTCTTTGTGATTATTTGATCTAAAACACACGGAATAAGTTAACCTCTTATACATAGTTGTTATAACATTCAATCTGTGAATATAATGTACATTTGTAAATCTTAAACATAATTTGTTGAAGTGGTCTTAAAAGATGCTTGTGATGAACTTACCATCAAAGTCATAGTTTTCTTTGAAAAAGTTTTCATTCTCATGTAAATCATTTAAATAGCTCATTTGAGAACTCCGTCCATCACTGTCTAATGTCATCGCCGAATCTGTATGCTTCCGCCTTCGATGGATTGTTGCTCCCGGTGTTGTGGAGTGTGATCGCCGTGATGCGGCGGGATATATGCTACTGCGATAATGTAGTGCCAGGCAATATGGACTCTCAGCATTATTTCGTTTGATCAACTTCCAAACGTCAAACTTAAATAAAAGACATGGTAATTTTGTGTTTCAATATTTGCGTCTAGTAATTGCAAGAGATGCATTCATGTTTTAAGAAATGACATTTTCTCGATAACCACATAGAATCAGTGTTACATTCACTTGGTTTATCTTGTCGACTTTTTTTATAAGGGATAAGCTTACAGAAATAAATGGATTTATTTCACACATTCTGAAATGTAACTAATGAGCTTCCATGGTTTGCACCATTTGTTATCCAAATATTAACCATTTTTGGATCCAATCTTATCAATAAACCATCGTTTTTCAT